TTATACACATATATATATGTGTGTGCGTGTGTGTAGTGTGTGTGTTTGTGTGTATGTGTGTGCGTGTGCGCGCTAATATCTGTAGTGTTACGCGCTCGGAATCGTTGCGAAAACAGAAGACTTAAAGGTTAAGACTCGTTTTATATTTTCAAAGTTAATCAGGCGATGTGGATCAGCCCTATCCATCACACATAAGCCTATTTACCGCAATAGCCACAGTGCTATGTCTGCGGTAGTGTGCCGCAGTCAGTTGGTCCTGACCCATGTGCAGGTATAATGTTCATCTCATCTTCTGTCTAACAAGTATAATATTCATCCAATCATCTTCTGTCTATTTATAGCATCTCTGCTGCAGACGTGCAGCACTAACAAGCGCCGGTTCGCTGTTCGGTCGCCATTCATGTCATCCGTTTAGGTCTGGACGGGGACTGGCGAGGACCAACCACATCCATCCATTGCACTTCAACTTCCAACTGCTCATGTACGCCTTGTAGTTGGCATGTCTGACTGTCCATATACATTGTGAGAGTTCTGGGTCTGCCTACGCTCTATTGTGAGATTTTTGGGTTTTGTCTAGGCTCCCTGAGGACGTGGCACATCCTTGTCCATTGTGAGATTTTGGATTTTGTCTGGGCTCACTCAGGATGTGGCACAATCTTGCGGTGCATGGCGATGCTAGCGAAATCGGAGTTTGCCACTGGACCGTCGGATACGCTCCAGGTCCACCCGTCTATAGCATATCCGAATATGTACCCAGTTCATGGGCCCCGTTTTCAGATGAACATCCCATCCGTCTGTGGCATATACGCTTACGCAGTCCCTGGACACTGTTTTCAGATAAACATCCGATCCCACCACGTGCGAAGAAAGTATTGTGGTGCTATGGGACTGGACGAGTCGAGACAAGTGGCACTGGTGGTGGTTCTGCAGATGACTACATTGGCATCGTATGTATTGACATGCTCATCCAGCCACCAGAACTGTACTGTTGTAGCCATGCGAAGGATGGGTAGATGATGGCACATCCCATACAAACCCCAACTCCAGGAACAGCCACAAGTGTATACGGCCCGGTACCGTCTGTCTGCTGGCACCACCTACAACGCACGCACAACTGACTACAAGCACGGTGAATAGCCTACATACTACGTAGTACCATGCTGTGAGTATCCATACACCTGAAAACGCTCTGTGCGTAGGCTATGGGTACCAGCCAGGCTGTAACATGTGATGCTACCTGATAGCAGTGTGTGCGTGGTCTGGCCATACGCAAGCATATAAAGTCCCATGACAGACTACAAGCACGGTGATCAGACTGGTAGTATCACATGTTACGCAACACCTGCTGCGAGTAACCCTACAACCATACGCGCACTGAGCGTAAGGCCCCGATCTACGGAGTCCTGTGGGCTGGGTATTATATGTGCGCATGGTAATATATGCACAAGCACTATAAATATATAAATATATAAATATAGATGTATCTATATATATATATATATATANATATAATTATATATATTATATATATATTATATATATATATATAACAGATATATAGATATATAGATATAATAATAAATAATAATATATATATATATATATATATATGTATATATATATATATATTTATATATATATATATATGTGTGTGTGTGTATGTATATAAATATATATATATATATATATACTCGATGTACCCAATCGTGTAGTATAGTTAATATAGTAGTGATCCTGTTCCCGAACTACTAGCGACTGCGTGCATATGTAGCTAAGGCCAGGCGTCGCTAGTATACTCCCAGGGTGCGGCTACGTGAACGTACGGGCCACCATATAACCCCCGAGTCCCAGATACGACGCAATGCCCACCATTGAGTACCACTTCACTGGGTGTTTGCGCGTACGAGCGTTGTCGTGGCAGATCATACAAGCACAGCCCAGAGCCACCAGCCCGGCTACGATATATAGCAGAGACGACGCATACTGCCAATACAATAGTCTCGGCTCGTCTATGAACGCTACCAGCCAGGCGAACAGACCGGCAAACGATAACAGGAACAGCAACACGTCCATAAAGTGGTTGCGCCTGAAACTGCTGAATAGCAGCCAGGCCGAAAACAGCAGTAGGTACCTGCACTGGATGTGCACCGAACCATACAACTCCTCAGCGTTCTCGAGATCCAGGGCCATGGTCATGGACGCATACCCGGACAACAGCCAGGCCGAACCCACAATAAACGTGGCTGAGGTGTCCTGGTGCTTGAAACAAAGGACCGGACTGTCCACTATGTCGCTGATGACGTCGTTCACGCGCGCGGCATAGAAGCCCCATACGGCACAGACGATGTCGATGGCGAATAAGAAGAGGTATATGTACGGGATGGAGTAGCCGTACTCGCCGGTCTGGCTGATGGTGTCGAACTGCAGCAACACGGTGAGAACGCCGGAGTTGAGCCAATTGGCGCCACATACAAACACAACCCAGTCAATGCCAGTGGTACGCTTGATGTTGAGCTCCATAGACCCCCCGAGGACGTGTAGTAGGAAGGTGACGTACACACCCCACACCTGGGGAAAGATATATGGTACAGAACATGTTAGGATGGTACAGATATATGAGATGATAGAAATAAAGGATGATATGGATATTAGGACGATAAAAATACTAGGATGTTATAAATATTAGGAAGACATGAATATTGGGAAATTATAAATATTAAGATGACAAATTTTAGTAATTAGAATGGTATAAATATTAAGACGCGACATAAATATTAGGATAATATAGATATTAGAATATATAAATATTAAGACGACATAAATATTAGGATAACATAGATATTAGGATGATATAAATATTATGATACTATAGATACTAGGATGGTATGACGATAGGACGATATAAAAATTAAGATGATAAATACAATAGTAAAATAATAATAGGATGGTATAAATACAGATAGTGTGCAACGATCCATTGACGACGAGTATAAAAGTAGTACGCAATATGCTGAGATGATACTACGTCAGCACGTATTGTGGGATACTCCAATTCACCATAGCACAAGAACGGCCAAGTAGTTCTATATATCTTAGAATGGTAAAAATTAGCACGTATATTGTGCGATACCAACACTTATGCCGAACACATTATTCATCTCAACGTACAGATTGGCTGTTCATGATTTGCATGCGATATAGTCATTACTTTGACGATTTAGGGTTTAGGGGTTTATGGATTTTCGCTCCTGACATTTCTACATCGAGTATCAACTGAACTTGAACCACTCGGTGTGCTTTTTGACCCATATACGGGTCTGACTATAGTAAGACACTCACCAGAAGCTTAGGTGTTTTATGGTCTAGGGTTTAGTTTTTCCATGCCCAAGCGGTCAGTTCGAAAGGCGTATAAATAAGATACTATCGACACAGAACAAGTCCATTCAATTGCTACGTCAATGTGGAAGTACACTCACAGTCTAAAACTAGTCATCCATTAGTATAAAACAATTCAGTACAGACATCACCCAAGATATGTCACGATTCCACTTTAATTCGGAGATTTTATCCTGTATGCCTCAACAGAGAGATCTGATCTACAAAGACAATGCCATAAGACGCATAATATATATATATATAGATAAATAGATAGATAGATAGATATACATATATA